ACAAAAACAAAAGAGAGAGAGAGAGAGAGAAAGAGAGATACACAACAGTCCTTTTGCTTCCTCACCAAGCTTTTTTAAAATTACTTTAAGCACAGCAGAAGAAAAAGTGTGGTAGAAAAAAAAACCCGAACCTCATTCCCCCTTGTTTTTGCTTCTGCAACTGCGCATGAGCACATCAGACTTATTTAATGCTGCAAAGACTTCATTTTTGCCATCAACGCCTCAAGGGACTCACCACCGTCTGTCGACACAAATTCCTCCTCCGTGTGGTTTGCCGCACTCCCCGCACCGCCGCTGTACGCGTACTCCACGCCGGCGTCTTCTGCACCGCCCGGCTGCGTTGCATGCACCGCCAAGTTCTCCTTCCCCTGCGCCTCCACCACAATTCCCCACTCTGCAGCGGATGCCGAAGCCTTCGCCTTCGCCGCCGCCCGTTCCTTCGCCTCCCGCTCCTCACGTTGTTTTCTCCCCTGATACAGTGGGTGGGCCGCGTCACCCATCAAAGCCCGCCGTGTGGCGTATTCCTGCTGCCGCTGCACGCAAGTCTCATTGCGGCACTCGGGGTTTGCCTTGATGGTGACGCAAGGGAAATGATCCCGCATCGCGTCGTAGCCGACGTACTCGCTCACTGTGCCAAAGTTCAGTAAATACTTCAGCGTGTTCTGCGCCATGAATCCCGCCACGATGCCCATGGTGGTGGGAAGTGACGCCGCACAGACACCCTCGCGCTTCGCCTCAGGCATCCCTGTCGCCACCACCAGCGGGGGGCAGCACTCATAGCAGGGGGTCACGCCCGGAAGCAAGAGCTGGATGTGGCCGCTGACAGCATTCTCCGCGACGCCGCTCTCCATCCATGGAATGTTATGAAGCAGGCAGGCGTAGTTGACTGTGAGACGGGCCTGAAAGTTGTCCACACAACAGAGCAAAAGATCCACAGGTGAATTCGGCTGCACACCGCCGTGCTTCGTGAGGGCGTCCACAAAATCATGCCAGTGTTCGGTGGAGGTGATACTAAAGGCGTATGGGACGATCTCCGTGTCCGGGTTGATGCTCTCCAGCGTCTGTTTTGCCGCCTTCACCTTAGTCATGCCCTGCTGCTCGGGACGGTAAAACAGGCGATTCATGTTGGCGAGCTCCACCTTATCGTAGTCAAAAAGCAAAATCTTTGTGATTCCACAACGCGTCAGCATCTCCGCCACAACACTCCCCACCCCACCTGCACCTATAATCGCAATAGACTTTTGACGAATAGCCTCATAGTTGTCTACCACGCCCATTCGCTGCAGTGCCATGAGTCGGCTATACGGATTGTCATCCCGCACCGTGGCGTCTAGGGTCTTTCGCTTACTTCCTTCCTGGTGCATTTGCTTTTTTTTTTTTTTGGGCCCTTCCTCCCTTGCTCACGCTCTGAGTCCCCCTCTTAGAAAATATTGGGCGACGCTGACAAAGACACACACACACACACACACACACACACAGAGGGAGAGAGAGAGAGGGACGCCACACAGGAGTAAAAGGGAACTAAAAGTGTGTTGAGTAGCAAATTCTTTCCTCTTCTCCTTTTTTTTTTCATTTTCCTCCTTCCGTTTTCTGTGCTGATGCGCAACGTCTGCATGCAACTTACTTCGGCAGGTGAGTGAACGAAGGGGGAAGAGCAAGAACGGCCTGCAAACTCCACATACGCGCAAAAAGGCCAAACTACTGTGGCTGGGTTGCCGGGGTTTCTGGTCGCACAAACAAAGACATACAACTTTCAAGAAAACGTTGCAAGTCCTCATCCTCCTCGCTAGGCTCCTCATCTTCCTTTGCCTCCTCCGCAATTTCCTGCATAAAGGCGTTAAAGTCCAGCGGAAACCGAGTTTCTACTGGAGGCTTCGCAGAGCCTGACAACATCAGCTCCTCCTCTCGCTGTTGCAGTCCTGCCTGAGTGCGGTCGCTGGACGACACGTTCGTGGGCGCCACAAACGAGGCAGACTGCGCCACCGACATGGCGGTGGTGACGCCAGCGGTGCAACTGACAATCGACTGCTGAGGGGATTTGCCGTCGACGGTTTCGCCGCCACGGCATCGCTTGCCGCCACGGCGTGGTGTGCTGGCCCTACCCTCAGCAGCCGTAGGAGCGTCCGGTGTGGCCCGTACCACGATCTCCCCGCCTGGGGAGAAAAGCGTACGCCCATTGCTGTGCGAAGGCGACGCGTCCACCTGCGAGGGCCCGTCAAAAAGACCCGACGGTCCCTGATTGAGAGACGCGGACACCAGGACACCCGGCGGTGAGCAGACGTTATTCTTCGCAGGATCTGCCCCATTGGTGGCACCTTCCAGGATAACAGCCGGCCCTGCGGTCGCGCTTGCTGTTATCGTGGGGAGGGCCTGCGGCGCCCCAGCCAAAGCGGGCGCTGCGTCCGGTGAAAGCGGCGCAACGTACGTGGAAGCCACTGGGGCCCCGACCTCGTGCATCTCACTCGCCGTACCTACACCACGGTCCTCACCAGTGACGGTGGTGACAGAGTTGGTGGAGTGACGGTTCGTTGCTGTGAATCCCTCGCCGCCGTCCAAGACCCGCTGTGGCACGTCAAAGGCAGCAATGTACATGGAGAATGTCACCTGAAATGAGTTCTCCACCGGCACTGGGTGTCTGCCAAACATATTCTGCGGCATAGCGGCAACGCCGTTGCCCGAAAAAACAGATACCGCAGAAGCAGCAGCATCTTTGGTTGCAGTTTTGATTGCTAATGCAGCTGCCTGTTGAGCCGCCTGCACTGTGATGGCCTCCACAAAAACGGGAAGGCCCTCCACCCCGGTGCGCACTCGAATCATCATACCAAGTTGATCCGCCAGAAGGCAGACTTGCTTGAATGGCTTCATCTCAATGATTTTTCCCGGAAGCAACACTTCACTTGCCCCTGCTGCACCGCATGCCTCATCCACGCCACTCTTTTCCCTCGACGCCGTTGCACTCCCACGGTGTGGCTCGCCGTCGTGGGGCTCATACTGCTGCATAAAGAGGAAGTGGTCCTGCGACGCCACAACCTTCGTCTCTGCCCCACCGCTTTTGCCACCATCCAGCGGCGGCTGGGCGCCTTCCATGATGTCCGCCTCGCCGTTATCCACAACCCACAGCTCAAGACGCGACTTGAGGGGTTGCATTACAACGCGCGGCCGTGACGCAGGGAACCAGGCAAGCAACGCTCCCCACAACCACGCTGCCGCACATGCATCAAAGCCAAAACGTTCAGGTGCAAAAAAAGCGCGTTCCGGCCGTCCCTCCGCCAACGGGAGCCCAAACTTTTTCGTTGTGCCGCAGGACAACACGCACTCCCACTGCAGTGCGTCACAGGCGGCCATATCGGACGCAGAGGTGGCGTCGTAGTGAACGTGCACAGCACACAAGCCCTGCGACTGGCGTAGCACCGTCACGGTAAGGGCCTTTGTGGGGAGCAGCAAAAAAGACTCCCCGCTGCCATTGATATCGTTGTGACGCGACGGATTTGTCTCAGACGTTGGACTGCCCTCTTGTCCTGAAGAATTTGCCGCGCTATTTCCATGAATGTAGTGGTAGCCCTCAAGATGGCAGGCGGCAATGCTCACAAGCATGTGCGTGCTTCGGGTACTGTTCACCGCACGTAGCTGCAGCACGTCCTGGTGCGGCTCGAAGAAGATCCCCTCGCCCTGCTTGCAGACGGTCTGCAGCAGGTGCATAAACGGCCGCACCGAGGCCCCTGTAATAGAAAAGCTAAGAAACATACGTTTGCATCAATGTTAACCCTCCCCCTCCCCCACGTCGTCCTCTCCCTACGGCTTATGCCCAACACTGGCGTTGGACAAGAGCGGCCAAACTACAAATAAACGGTAAAGCAAAATGAAAAAGGCGAATACAAAATATGTGCAGCTTCGTATGTATGTGGATGTTACTCTCTGGTGCAGGAGTCCCAATGCCTCCCACCAAATAGTAATACAAACACAAACGAGGTCCCCACCACTGCTACAAGCACAGCACCTTCCGCTTTCATCTTCCACTACTACACACACGGCACAAGCGCAAACACACGCACGCAGATGCGTAGGGAGAGAAATGGTAATTGACTCCCACCCCACCTTTTTGAGGCAATTTTCATACCAAACCCACACCAATAATAGAAAAAAAAAAAAAAAACAACAACAACAAAAAAAAATAAATACGGTGAAAATTGTTGGTTGTGAAAGAGGCGGCGCAGGGGGAGGGGCGAGGAACAAACATCCGGGAAAAGAAGCAGGAGAAAAGACTGTATCCCTTCCTCTCTTGTTTGTTGCAGCATACAACATAACTCAAAAACAAAGTCAAAACAAGCAGAAAAAAAAGCAAAAAAAAAAAGAAGAAAAAAGGAAAGTATTACAGTCAAACTCCCTACGTCCCCGTATACCTGCATGCACTCCTGCCTGCGCCTCTTCCCCACATCCTCAACCCAAACTCCTCCACTTCTTTCTTGCCTTGCGCATTGACCAGCCTATTTCGTGATTGCCGGTGTGTCCAATGCCGGTGGAACACGTGGTGTGACGGGCGAGCCCATGCGCTTAATTTCCTTCGAGGCATACGCTGGGTTAAGGAACTTTGGGCAAGTTATGCTGCAATTGTAAATGTTGTGGCAAAAGTTCACCAAAGAGCCATGCTCAAACATCTTGACACGGCTGTCATAATCGCGGTCTAGCGGCTCAATCAACCAGCGATACGCTTGCAGTAGAACGGCAGGCCCGAGAAAGTGTTCACGGTTCCACCAGTACTGGGGACAACTGCCGGTGCAGGAGGCGCAAAGCACACACTCGTAAAGGCCCTCCAGTCGATTTCTATTGCTGCTATGCACCTTCTCCTTGAGGTACCAGCGGCTCACAGTGTACGGGTTGTTTCCATAGCCTGGTCGCTGTGTCATGACGTGAAAGGCGGTCTTGCAATTGTCCTTTGCTATAAACACCGTGTCAGGCTTGGGTGATGAATTCCTCAAGATGCGGCGATACATGAAGAGAGGGCTGCTGTATCGTGCCACTTGGCCTGGAAGCGGGGCCGAGGGCATTTCTGCAAGTTATTCCACTTTTTCTTTTCCTACCACGCTACGCCTGTACAAATATATATATATATCTCCACGTGTCTATTGTACGCACGTCTACTCCTCGCTCGCCACGTCCTTCTGCTGCACTGACTAAACTAATGCGGGGGATGCTGATTTGCTACTGCTTAATTCCCTCCCTCCCCCCCCCCAGAGACGGCGGCAACGCCACAAGCAAAAAAAAAAAAAACGCAGAAAAACAACCGAGAAGATGTGTGTATATATACATATGTATATATCCATAGTGTTTTGCTTTCAGGAAAAAACCCTCTTTGCACGTGGACCACAGCCATGCTTTTCACGCATGCAAGGCCGTCTCACAGCGACCGTTGCCGCCAAAAAGGAAAAAAGAAGGAAAACGGGAATATCGCTCGTTTCTTCGTTTCTGCTTTTCTGTTTGTTTGTATGGTGTCGCCGCCACGCACCGCCGCTGCCGCCGTTCTTCACCACCAGCGCCGATGCGGCGGGAGGACACGCGTAACAACGACGGACAAAGTTCGACACGCGACGCACACACACGCACATCGACCAAACAAAAAAGGAAGAAGCTACAAAGCAAAAAACCCAAAACCCAAAAACAAACAAACAAAAAAGAACACGTCGAGACAAATCACGTAAAACAAAAAAAAAGAGAGCGGGAAACCCACGCACCCACGCCGCACAGGGCCTACCAGTTCATGCGGTGCGGTACATCACCTGGCTTGATGGTGAAGACGGAGTGAAGGTAGCCGGCCTTTTCCTTCCCCAGTGGGTCCTTCTTGATGGCCTCAACGAGCGCGGCATCAACCTTCTTCTGCAGCTGCGCACGGGCGTCGCTGACGATCCCCTTCGGTGCCGCCTTCGCCGTCTTCTTGGCCTTCCGCTCCGCGGCCTTCTTGGCCTTGTCGCCCATGAACTCGCCCTCCGACTTCACGCGCTTCTCCTGCTTCGGGCGCTTGAAGATGTCAGCGGTGATGCCGCTCACGTCCACGTTCTTCACGTCCACCTTCGTCGAGGTCGCGATGATGTAACGAGAGTCGATGCGACGGATCGGCACGCCGTTGTATTTCATGGGCCCAGAGATGACCAGCGGGCCGTTCCCGGGCAGCTGCTTCAAAATCACCGCACGGCGGCCACGAAAGCGCCCGGCAAGAATGATTGCGATGGTGCCAGGTGTGCAGCTCTTACGCACCGTCGTGTACTCGGGGCTCTTACGGCTCACCTTCTTGGCGACCTTCTTGGTGGCGCGCTTCTTCGTAGCTGGGGCCATGCTTTTTTCAATTGTTATTTCTTCCTTTTAAGGTCCCTACCTCGCCGCTCTCCCTTTTACGATCAGTCCCTACGACGGCAACGACGTAGACGTGGTGACAAGGCAGAGACATAAGGCGAAAAGTAAACAAATGGGCAAACAAACGGATGCGAAGAAGAAAAAATACAAGGAGAACGCAGAGGAAAAATCCCAAAGGAATCAAACAAGCAAAAAAAAGAAAAAAAAAAAAAGAAAAAGCGCGCTGCATGACACGGGGCCCTGTCTTTGTGGGGGAAAACACCCACGCGGTCACTGTGCGGCGGCGCGGCTGTGGGCCTCTGTCCCGCTCCTCTCGCCTTTGCGTCTCCTGCCCACGCGGGCGGCGAAGACGCTGGCAGATGTTTGTGCGGGAAAACAACAAGAGAAAAAAGAAAAAAAAGAAAACACAAGAAAAAAGAAAAACAGAAAAAGAGAGGAAGCAACATGTAGTGGCCGCCCAAAGTAAAACAAACAAGATCAAACAGTGAGGACTCTACACTTTTCCTACGCACGCAGTCACACGGAAGCCACCGCCTTGGGAGCCGCTTAAGTGGCCACGCAACAAACCACCTGAACACACACGCACATGCACGATCCTATTGATGCATGCAACACTGTTCGACTACTTCTGCAGCAGCACCGGACAGGCACCGCCGTGTCCACTTGGCATTCACCCGCTTCCCCCACAAATGCAGCTGAAAAACGAAAACAAAAAAAAACGAAAACAAAAAAAAAAACCCAACAGGGGAGTGAAGGGAGGAAGAGGGGCATATTGACAAAAACAAACAAAGACTAAAGTCAAGGATAGTTCACGGACAAGTTTGAGCATAAACTATCACAACTTCCCGTAACTCAAAAAAAAAAAAACCTTACTCACCCCTCCCCCTCCCCGGATAAACACGCAGCGCACTCCCTGCCCTCACTGCAGTGCTCCCTCTTCCCCCCACTTCATTTCCCAATGAACAAAACAACAAACAACACGTGCGTGCTAACACGGATAGCGCGAGAATGCATGCAACAAAAAGTTCCAACTGCGGTTGGAAACAAGATCAACAGCAGAAGGAAAGAAATAAAGAAACAACAACCAGAACAAAGTTTCAATATGTTTCCCTGTCTCAAAAGTAGGTGCTCCTTCACACCATCCACATCATTCTTTCTCTGCTACAGCCGCTGCCGCTTAATCTGCCTACATGCAGCGTGACACCCCCTTCAACCCCACCCCGCTTAGTTACAGCAACGTGCAGAAATGCACCCCACACTCCTCAATATGCCCCTGTTCCCCTGTTTATTTGTGCTAACTCTACTCCCATTCCACCTCCCTCCATGCTACACCAGTTTTGTTTGGACGTCTTCCGTCCTCGCCCAAGCGATAAAGAAAGAAAAATCAGGCGTAGCACACACTTACACACCCATCACAACCTGCCCACCATCGGGGAGAGAGACATCATACATACGCTTTCTCGTTTAATGATAGAAAACACCCCCTCCCCCTCTCTCTCTCTTTCTCTCTCTCAAAGAAAAAAAAAACATGTGGTCTAAGTATTATTTCATTCATCCATGGAACCACAGAACCCCACACAGCACAAATGAGGGAATAAACAACAAAAAAAAAAAAAGAAAGAAAAATACAAAAAAGAAAAAAAAGACACGGCCAATAGACGTTTTCATACCCACACATCTCTCAAGAGGCTGTTAGTACGGCAACCGATAGCAGCGACCCTTCCTCCCTTGCATGCTTTGGCATCACTTCCCCTTAGCCATGGCTGAGGCGCGCTCAATGTGTATGCTCATGAACGAGAAAAAGTCAAACTCGTTACTGTCCATGCCTGTGGAGTACACGTACTCGGATGCAAGCCACATGGCACAAATGGCATGCTGATAGGCAACGGGAACCCGCTGCATCAACAAGTCCAGTGGCACCACCTCAAGCAGTGTTTTGGGAGTGTAATGTTGAAGAATATAACGTACAAGTTTTTGATTCTTAAATGCGTCGCTTGCAAGCATGCTAGCACGCATTTGTACATTCTTCCCACTAAGAGCATCCGCAATAATTGTCTTTGGAGTCCCAGGGTGGGACTCGTGGTCGCGCCAGATGGCGTCGAACTCTCGCTGGGCATTATTCTCAATGCGGGCAATGATGTCGTTCACGTAATTCTTGTAAAACTCCGGCACCTTCTCTGGGTTTTGGACGCACATGTATTTGGCATGCTCCTCATCTGAGAGAGCCAGTCCCGCGTATACCTCAAGTGAGGAGGAGGTAACCCCGCCCTTGTTACCTGACGCGTCCTTAAACAGGACAACACCACAGCGCTCCAGCGCCAAACGGGCGTCCTGAGAAATGAATAGATTTGCCCCCTCCACAATAATCTTAAACTTGAGGGACTCTGGCATTTGAAACTTGCCCGCCAGCATGGCCTCCCCCTCGACATCGGGCACCTTCAGGAAGCGACCGACATTCGCCAGTGTGACGCTGCGGGGGCGGCCACCACATGGGACAAACACATCGGCCTCGGTGTACTTTGTAAAGTGAAACTCGTCACGGAACAGGGCACCGTCGTCTACGTAAGTTCCATCTGGCAGAACCACATTTTTATCCTCCGTCAACACCAAAAATCCTTTTGGGGAAAGTTTAGATTTGTCAAAGTGAGACAGCTGCAGGCGGCGCAACGCCAGGCGTTTTAACTCCTCCCGATCAATTCCATTGGGGTCATGCAGTGAGCCGGAGATGTCGGAAATCGCCACCAGTTTTTCCCGGCTTTGAAGAATTTCGTTAGAGCCAAGGTCCCCATCGGGCCCACCGGTCTGGAACTTTGTCATCTCCTCCTCCTTCAGACCAAGTTTGCTGTACACGCCACGCACAAAGGTGCGCACGGAGCGAGTTGTCATACCGTACACATCATGGGGAATACCACCCATGGAGGGGTCTTTTCCAGTGGTGAAAGACTTCCATGCGGAGTACCCGCGCCGCTTGCTATGCAAAGCGCCGTCGGAGGGAAAGGTCCCTGCCGTATTCTCGTCTGGACCCAAGAACAATATTTCCGTCTGCTTCAAGTTATCTACAATGCCGGATTCACCTGGCAAAATGGTATCCAGCAGGGCATCCGTATATTGTAGAAAAACCCTTTGGCAACGAGAATAATCAAAACGGGTCAGATAGCGGCTTGAAACAAGAATCGTCCCTTTACTTCCTCCCTCTGGAATGTCCTTGTTCTTCAAGAGCTGTGTGTAGGCAAGATTGTAGTTCTCCTGAAACACCGACCTCTTGTTGCGCCGGTATGCATTTTCCTTCGACAAAATTATACGTATACCACCACGGGCGATATCGGTAAACCGCACATGAAATCCACGCCATTGTCCACCAGCAAGAAGAAAAACGCCGTGCGGCACACGTGGATACTCAAGCTCCTTAAGGAATGACGGGTCAAGACGGAAGCAAAGTGCCACCTTCTCCTTTTTAAAGAAATTGTGCTTCACAACAACCTCATTAAAGCGCAATAAGGACTTGAAAATTTCAACGTCATGCATCGGACGCTGGTCTTCTCTGAAGCGATCGACAATTTTCTTTTCAATGGCCTGACGTGACACAGGTGTGGTGCCACGGCGGAAGTCTTCGTAGATTTCGATCATATACTCCGGGTACTGGCTGATGAGGGTACCAATGTACCGTTCTGACATCATCTCGAGCGTTAAGGAGTTGCGTAGGGAGTTGAGACGGTTGATGCCAGTCGATTCCCTTGAAAGAACTGTCCGAAGGTGACGGTAGTCGTCCGAGGTGGGGTTTGGCGTAAAGTAAAAGGCAAACACAAGGGCTGAATCGGTAAAGACGCTCTGCTCCACGTTGAACACGAGATCCTCGTGTAGGCGGGTGATGGAGTTGGGAGGACGATTGGGGAGCAGGCCCACCATCGACGCACGATCCTGTAGCTGCGCACTCGAGGCGCCCGCGACGTAAAGCGTGTAAATATGAACACCACTTGAAAAGGTCTCCGAAAAGCAGCGATGCACCACCGCTCCTGGAATTTCTTGTATGATGGCCATAAGGGATGCCAGGTAGTAGTTGCGATCGGCTGCGATGGCCATGGAGAAACACATTTCACCACCTTCTCCCTCAAGGACCGTAAAGACAGGCCCAACGGAATCATCAAAACGTTCCAGAAGTTCCTCATAGCGCTTCTGCAGCTCTGGTGAGCGTTCTTCAAGGAAAACACGGCTTGCAAGCTGCTTAATATCCCTCTCTTCTGGTGCTGGGTTTGGGTTCACAAACGGCTGCCATTTGGCGGTGTAGACGCAGGTGGAGCCGCCGTCGGTGGTGTATCCACGCATAGAAATAGACTGCTTTGGTTTCTTTTCACGACCCACAAACATTGAAAGGCGTCGAACAGTACGGAGTTGGCTTGCATGATCGTGTGCGCAAATGTAAAAGGCAGAGTCTTCTGTTTCGTGAACGTGCTCAAATGGTTCTCCCATCATTTGCTTTGCCTTGGCGCAGAGAAATCCCATGACGTGGCTTGCCGCTTCATCCTCGGAGTAGCAGCGGCCGTAGGAGCCGTCGGTGAGGTCGCCTGTAAAGAACTGCACCGCACTCCGTATGGAGGTCTCGTCAAACGCGCTACGCCTCTTCGCCACCTCGATGATGGTATCAGCGTTCATGTCAGTCGTGAGAAAACGAAAGCTGTCGCCGGCATGATAGCGAAGTGCCGCAGTGGCCACACAAGCTCGAACCCCAAAGCGCCACATCGTACTTCCTTCTTTGCTTCAAATAACTTCAAGCGAGTACAACTTTTTTCCCTCTTTGCTTGCTTTAAGCCTTTTATCTCTTGCCTTTTGTTTGCTGGCTCTTCGCCCCAAACAAACAACACACACACACACACACACACAGAGAGAGAGAGAGAGAGAGAGAGAGCCAGACAGGACATATATGCAAGTAAAGCACATAAAAAAAAAAGAAGAATATCCATCTATATATAAAGAAAACATGCACCAGACATGAGAGGAAGAGAAAAGCGGCGGTGCCGCGACCGCCCGCAGCAGCGAACGCGAACACACAGGAGTCGTAGCCGCCCACAAACGAAGACCAGAAGAGTTTGCCGGTCACTAGTACCGCGCGGCTCACCAAAAAAAAAAAAAAAAAAAACGTAACGAGGACTTACATATTACTTTAAATTACGCCTTGTTTTGTTCTTTTTTTTTTTAAGTGTTTCCCTTTTTACCTCCCTCAGTTGCTTTTGCTTTGTTCTTGCTCCCTCACCTCACCCACATCCCCCTATTCCTCTCCAAGCTCACATCTGCCGCGTTAGAACGAGGCCCATCGCAGCTTCGAGCGAGTCCCGTGCTGCAGAGTGGTGAAGGACACTGAGTGCTTCAACGCCGTGACGGCAATGCTTATCCGCATACTCCATGGCTTCCGCAATACACCCATGACGCTCTACCGCCTCCATGCACATTGACGCGTCGCCCGGATACTTAAAGCGACGCCGCACTGCCTCATCCACGCGAGCCTCTTGCCGGGCGGCAAGAAGCACCGGCAGGGTTGCGATGCCCTCGTTGATGTCTGCCATTTTTGGTTTGCCCAAATTCTTCTCGTCACCTGTGATATCGAGGCAGTCATCCACAATTTGAAAGGCAATACCTAGGCGCCTTCCAAACTCCGCCGCTGCAGTTTCATACGCCGCATTTTGCGGATTTGCTAGAACCGCCGTCGACGCGAGGGAGTTAGCTATAAGGGATGCCGTCTTGCAGTAGGTTTTCTGTTCATAACTCTCAAGGTCAAAGCAGCCATCCATCTGCATTATTTCACCAGCGGTAAGGTCTTCCAGTGCGGTGGACATGAGCACCACGATGCGAGGCACAAGGAGAGTGGCTATCCACAGCGAGGCACGGGCGAGGAGGAAATCACCTGCCAGCACAGCCAGCTTTGCGTCGTAAACGCGGTGAAGCGCGGGTTGACCACGGCGTGTGTCGCTGTTATCAATGACGTCATCGTGGACGAGGGAGGCGGTGTGGATAAGCTCCGTCACTTCTCCAAGGCGCAGGAATGGCCGAATCGTGCCAGGGGAAATATCATCCAGTGAGTCAATGCTAGTTTCGCGAAGCTGCTCGCTGACATGTGGTGGAAGCAGCGCGTGCGCCATCATTGCCACCAGCGTTGGGCGCAACATCTTTCCACCTGATGCAACGACGTATTTGGCGGCGTGGTCAAGTACGGCGTTGTTCCTGTTGCTGACAAGCGCGGCAATATGCTGCTGCATCATTTTTACCTCACGTGCCACCGACGCGAACGGCCGCCCCTTCTCTGTCAGCATGGAACTCGAGCTGGCAGTGGTTGCCGCGGCCCGCCAGATGAAGCCGGGTTTCAGCATGAAGCTTACAACGCCTTGCTCACAAAAAAAAGCAAAGAAAAACAGAGAGGAAAAAATCAACTACGACAACAAACGAAATTATACCTCTCTTCGATGTGTGTGTGTGTATGGGTGAGTGTAAGCTTAGCAACTCCGTCCCCACTTCTCCTCTTCGCCGTGTCTATTCCCCAGCGCCTCTACTGCAGGGCCAAGTAAAGTGAGGAAAAAAAAAGAGAGGAGACACATACGAAAGAGAACGAGAAAAAATAATAAAACCACATCCAGTAGAGCTCGCTTAATATTATACACACAAACGGACGTATCCCACTCAGATTACACCGCATACGTGCGTGATAGAAGGGAAGGATGAGGTGAACGTGCGGCACATCGTCGTCTCCATCCTGGACGGTGGTGCGTCAGGTTTTCAATTTGCTCTTTTCTTCTTTATTTCTTGGAACACACACACACACACACACAGTCAAAGCAGAAGAGAAATAAAAAAAAGAAAGAGAAAGTGAAAGAGAAAGGGGGCGACACAGAGGTACCTGTGGGAATCGTTCACAGACGACGCCTCCTCTTCATAAGCTGGTCCATTCCCAAGCCACCATCATCCTCATCATCGTCGTCCGTCGATCCATCATCGTTGCCAAGTTGAAGGCCATCCTTGACGACTCCCAGCTCTTCGCTCTGCACCAGTGCCTCCATCTCACGACGGATGCCCTCGTTACTGATGACCGCGGAACCAAAAACTCCTTTGCGTATTCCACCAGCCGGGCGCGCGCCGGTTTCGTCGTCGTCCGCATACAACGAGGGCACTTGTTGGTCCATCGAGGAGCCTTCCTGTTTCACGCCCAGGTACGAGGATGCCGGCGCAGCCATTGCCGCACTTCCATGGGGGCAACTGAAATGGGAAGACGTATAATCGGTGACGCCGACACCATGACCCCCAGCCGCTGCCTCATCCACCGTCTTCAGGAGGTCTTCATCCGCTTCTAGTGCCTCTACAGTGATTCCCAGTCTGGCAGCCGCCTTTGCTAACCGGCGCTGTCGCACCTCTTGTTGCTTCTCCCGCTCTCGAAGCTCGCGCTCCAGCCGAATTCGATCCAAACGTTCTTCGCGAGTCTCCTTCTTTCTTTGGGTTGAGGAATGCACCATGTCCAATGCGGCCTTTTCCAGCAATTCTCTGGCGCGCCGCGTGGCCTCCGCCTCTCTTTCTGCCTGCCGGCGCTCTTCCTCCTCCTGATGGGCTTTCTCACGAGCGGCCTGCTCCGCCTCCACCTCTTTTCGTGCCTGCTGCATCGCCATGGCGAGACTCATGACCTGCTCGCTTATCCCACCACCACTATCCGCCTGCATGTCGGCCTGTTGCGCCAGGCGCTGCTCCAGCGGGATAATCAATTTTCGCTTGTTTTTCCAGTTCCCGATACTAAACGGCACGGTAACCGCACCGTCGGCGGTGGAGGAGGCGGAGGCTCCCCCTTCGCCAAGGTTGCTTGGGCCCTTCTTGGTGCGTGTGGGTGACCGCACAATGGGTGCCGGGTCATGCATCCCAGCGGCGCCAACCTCCCCTGGCAGCACAATTTCCAGCACCGGCTTCGTCTGCTGCGTCTGCCGGATCTTCCGACCACTGATGTCTTCCTTCTGCATCTGCCGAATACGCAGCACCCCCTCCAACGCCTCTCTAGTTTTTTCCGTTGTTTCTGCCAGTTCCTCCACCTCACAATATGGATCCACACCCCCGCTCACAGCAAAGGTGGAAGCGCCATCCGACGAGGCGACAACGAGGGTCCCGGTGTCCGACGCAGCAGTGGATGAAATGAATGGGGGGACCCGCTGCGAGGGCATAGCAGCTGTGTCAGACGCCCGCGCTTCCCGTTCACTTGCAAGCCGCTGCCTCACAACTGGCGGTGGTGGCTTTTGTCCCATACCTAGCGGGTACTGCGCAAAGAAGCACTCCGCAAAGGCTCCGCCATCTTCACTGCTGCTCCACATTCACCACGACACACAACGCCGCAAATGACACCGTTTTTTTTTTTATCCGTTCTTATTTCTCCTCCCCCCTTTTGTGCAGTTTTTTTCCCTACTCCACTACGAAGGTAGACAAAACACACAAACAGACCAAACCCACGGCAGGCAGGTAGACGAAACACCCGACAGCTGCAGTGCAGAGCACTGCCCAGACCCCACGAGCGCACACACACACACACACATAACGCCTCGACCCCCCAAAACCTTCAGCAGAAGCAATAAAAATGCTAAAAAATCCGCGACCAATATAAGAAACACGCAAGCACACAGAAAAAAAAAACCTATGAACAGAACACTGGGTCCTGCAGACGAGAAACTCAGCCCTCCCATCATCGCTCAGACCAGTGCTTCAATAACACAGTCCATCTTCCCAAGTATAAAAGCAACTTGTATCAGCTGCTTTCACTCCACTACCATTTACCCTGATAATGCACGCACAAATAAATCAACAAAAAAACCTTTAACTATTCACTCATGACGCTTTCACCTGTACTTACAACCAAACCTGCCCCAAAAACAAAACAAAAAGACATAATGCTAAGCTACGGCATTAAAGTACTCCTTGGACTTCGCAGGATCCGGCTTCATCGTCTTGCCGCCAGGCTTCCAGCTGGCGGGGCACACCTCGCCGTGCTCCTCCACAAACTGGAACGCCTTCACGAGGCGGAGGGCCTCGTCCACATCGCGACCAACAGGGAGGTCATTGACGGTAATCTGCCGCAGGTTCTGCTTCGGGTCAATGATGAAAAGACCGCGGTACGCCACACCATCTTCCTCCTTCAGCACGCCGTACGCCTTCATGACGGACTTGGTCTTGTCGGCAAGAATGGGGATGTTCATCTTGCCAAGCCCACCCTCCTTGCGCTCAAGATTTGTCCAGGCCAGGTGGGAGTACTCACTGTCCATAGAGCAGGCAAGCACCTCGCACCCAACGTCATTGAACTCCTTCACGCGGTCGGAAAACTGACAGATTTCTGTAGGGCAGACAAAGGTAAAGTCCAGCGGGTAGAA